GACCGCGGACACTCGGTTTAGGTCGGTTCGACGGTGGTTCGACGAGAGCAAGGACGCGTTACTACCGTGCTATTATACCCGCTAGGGAGATCAGCGACACAGCACAGCGCAGCGATGCGTTAGTTGCGCGCGCGTACGATGTCGGGCGATATCGCTCGATTCGAGAGCGAGCCGGCCGCCTCCGACCCGCTAGTGTCGGACGCCGTTTCCACGTTGCAAGGTAACTCTTTTTCTTCGCGTACGTCGCACGTTTGTTTTGTGCCCTTTCTTCTTCTTAACGCGCGTCTAAGGGAAACGAGCAAGAGCATTCGCTCGTGTCCGTTTAGTGCAAAGTCATTTACACCAAAAAACGTTTCCCCGCAACGAACGCGAACGAACGTTCGGGGAGATTAGACCGAGCATCTATAGAATACGCGATAGTTATATTCTCGATTCGATCTTCGCTCGAACCTGTGACAACTATGTTCGATGGATGGATTAGAATGTTTATCGTGAGAAATTTGAAAATACAAAAGTGCGCAGAGTCTCGCGTAGTATGTAGAAATATACGAACTATTCAAGTACAATACTCGCTATAGCGTTTAGTAAGTAAAACGATTTCTTACCTAGATTGCATTTTATCGTAAACCAAAATCTAATTCCTAGACTATCAGGCTGAAATAGATAAATATAATACAATAGAATAAGAAGATTTTTAGAGCATTCGATTCGACGAACAATGGTCGAAACGGCATTTACGTTTCAATTCTGCACGTTCTTATATTTGCAAATTTCCCATAGATGCATACAAATGCATAGTCTAGTTATAGATAAATACATATGTATGTACATATATCTATAGATATATAGGATGAATTATGACCCTGGATAAAAATAAAGTACAACGGGCAAATTCTATGACTCGAAACAAGTGGAAATGATGTCTTATGAAGAAATAGCTTCGAAAATTTAAACGGGTTGCTTACACGTGATCGATACTTTGTATGTTACCTTCCACTATAAATTATTATACTACATGTGTTTCTGTATTGGATGTATAAAAATTTGCTTGTTATTAGAAGCTGTGACATTGTACTAACGTCAGAAGGTGGTGGTCCACGGAAAATCATAAAGCTTATCATACGAGAATAACGTAAACATGTTAAAGAACAGAATGATGCTACAATAATTACTATGACGCAAAAATATTATTATTTTTGCCAGATATTATACATTTTTATCGTACAAACTTTATAGAAACATTATTCTATGAAATTCATAAACAAGCATGATTACAATCGTTGTAATAAAACGGCATTGACGCATTGCGGTATTTGACTGGCAGTTTGAGAGATATTTGCCTGGCCCGTTGCTTTTGGTGTTTTATTTTTATCTGAATTGCTTTACCCGCTTCTTACTTGCGTCAATATAGCATAACGATTTGCTTGCTATTGGAAGAACTGACACTGTATTATGAAGTTAAAAAATTTATTTACACCAAGTATCAGACGCACGTGTAGGCGCTTTTTCTTTTTTCTCGAAGATGAAACGCCTCATTTGTACCACAAATTAGAGAATAGTAAATTTCAAAAAATAAAATTGGAAGATCTTGTGAATTCGAATTGAATTTCTTTATACAACAAAATTGTAATATTTATTTTTCTGGAAATATTCGTGTGTTATTTTACATTATTATAATAACAGATAAATAATCACCAGCGAAAACAAAGAAACATCAATAGCGTTAATAAAAAATTAATATCAATGAGTTATAGCCATAAGAGACAAATATAATCAGTCATAGGTGCTACCGATGGTGATTCGCTGTCCGTCTAATTCGAGCTTAATCTGATACTACTGTTGATACACGGGGACTAAAGGAAAAGAAAGAAAAATTCCGATATCCAGTTACAAATGCTGATGATTAATCTAAAAATTCAGCGTAATCTAAGACTTAATTCCAAAGACTAAAACGGAGCGGTGTATTTAAATTTTATTTAGCTTAACTCAATACCATTTTAATGGCTCACAACTTCAGCCAAAAAGTCGCACAATCATGATCGGAATTCAATTCGAAGTTAATCCATGTTTAAGCCGAACTTAATCAAAAAATAAATAACGATCGTCACGTCTAACGCGGTATAATCTAAACGTAACTCGAAACTGTTCTTGTCGTATCAAAATTTCAAAATAAGCAACGGCTTACAAATAATTATCTACATAGGTATTTAGCTTTGGCTCAATCTCTCTGATTAAAGATCTCAGGCGGAAGCTCGATTAACCGCTAATAGTAATAAAAACTAAATCGCAAATAGAATTCTAATCGAGTTTAATCTCGCAGAATAATCTCGACTCAAATATCGTGCAAAACTTAATCTGAAGCCTAATCTTCGTCTCAATGTTAGACTTAAACTCGACCTTCTGAAAACTAAAACAAAAGAATGCATTAACCCAAACCTGTACCCACGTTAATGTGTTAGAGACATAATTAGAGATATACGTAATTAGGTCATTTCCATAAACAACGTCGTGTTTATGTAGAGGCCGGTTCATTGCCATCGATCAGCGCAATTATCTCGCAAACTCTACGCTATTCGAAAAAGTATTGGGTTGACAACTAAGCGATTGCGGATTTTGTCAATACCAACTAACCAAAAAAATTCCTCAATCACTTAATTGCCACCCCAAAAAATTCTTTTTTTCATGAACTTTGCCAAATGGATGATAAATTGGTTCCTAAACAGATATTCCTCTCGTCTAGCAAATACTCGACGAGTATACTCGACGTATTACGAATCTTTACGTATCTTCGTACGTCTTTATGTATTTTATGCACATTTTAATGGATTATCGCTAATAAAGGTCAGAGAAGCGTAATGTATCAAAGGTGACAAACAAGTGTGTAATCCCAATGTGTTGCAAGAACAAAGAAGTGTTTTGAGTAGCGTTACGAACTGCTACAAAGACGCGAGCGAGAGGAACGATTTATAATTTATAGACAAGAAAAGCCTTCGGAAAGACTTGGTACGCTTTTGTTTTCAACGGATTGGCAGAGGGACGTAGCACATTCGAGGAATGTTTTTATTCTTGGAATGAACATATGATCACGGTGGCGGGTCTGACTTTCACGTCAGCCTGTACGGTTTCTCATTCCATCTTTCTTTCCTCTATCTCCCCCTCTTTCTCTCTTTCTCTCTTATTCTTTTTATGAGTAACCGCGTTATTTTCTCGTATTCGCAGGCACCAAGCAAACGGCGGAAAGCGTAGCTCAAGATGCCGTCGACCAAACAGGTATGCGTTTCTTGGGTTTTTAGTTTGAGGATGTTAAAGAGCAAGGATGAATTGACTCGAATACGATTGAATTTTTATTTTTATGATAGACGTAATTCTTTCGTTATTTTATAATATTATTTTATGGTTTATAGCTTATCTCCATAGCGAGCTATCATCTTTGAGACGAATTAATCTAAATATAATTGAACTTATTAAGGGAAAGTCGTTTGGTGTTGTCGTAAATGAGTCAATCGAAGACCCCGTAACCTAATAAAGGGGGAAAATACTACTACTGTTGTTATTAGCCGAGTTTTTATTTTTACGCTATTGGAATAGAGACGAAAGAGTAAATAATTTTGTATATCTAGAAATTTTTATTCTCATCCGTCTTCCTCCAACTTAATTTCTTGTATCTTATTTGTATAAGTTCGCAATTCACAATATCAAGTACGAGTATGCAACGATAAATACGATTTATTCTAATGATTCGTGGTATCTTTCCACAGGGTTTGGCAAGTTTAACCTTAAGGTTATGGCCGTCTGCAGTCTGATCTTCATGAACGTGGCTTTTAGTATAACAAGTATCGGTTTTGTATTACCATCAGCGGCATGCGACTTCAGAATGACCACTGTTGACAAGGGACGCATGAGCGCCGCCCCCATGTTAGGTAACACTCGAATAATCAGCATCTTATTAACTATATATTAATGTTCCTTCCGGCATATCAACGATATTATTAACTACTTTCATTTTTGCATACACACATGACAACAACAATCCTTGTCCGTCGCTGACATTTGCTTGGCAATTATTTTATGATCATGTAAGAATTTTATGATTGTGTTGTTTCTGTATGTTTTTGTGTTGTCATGTAATAATCTATTTAATTTAATTACAAATTATATTTTTCTTATGGGTTACCGATTTTTATTGAATCGCTAATCGTTCTTATCGCGTGTGTTATTTGCAAATATGAACGAGGATTATGTAATTTATTCTTAACGTCATTTTATATATTGTTGCTTGTAGTTGGGAAATACACTTTTTGGTACCAAAGAGAAATGTGAAATAAGAAATACAAGTCTGTTCTAACTCGGAGGAAAAGGATTTATAAAAAGTAAATAAACAAATAATAAAATGATAATTCTGTAATAATTCTTGTTAAAAGAAAGAAGATATGTCACTTACAAAAGTTCCATTTCCGTGCTTTAATATGGCATATTTGCTTCGTATAATGTTTCTTTATTCGATCGATATCACTTTAATACTGTTATCAAATATGAAAATAGCGTATATATATTGCATTCACCTTATCACTGGAATGAAAATGTGTTGCGTGCCTTTCCGAGGCTCGCGAACGCCACACGCCCTAGAATCGATTTCCATGGTGTTTCGCCAACACGTTGCGTTGCTTACATTAGCTCGAACAGGACATCAAACCGCGTTCCTTTCGAGTTACATAAAAATCCTTGTGAAATTGCAAGTTATTTTCCACTCGTTCAAGCCTTCTCACTTTCCTTATTTAGATACGGACAGGCGGATATTCATGCAAATATTTATATAAACAATGGCAATTATAAATAAAAGAATTATTTTCATAAAAACGACTGAAGGAATAAAACTTAAATATAAATTTCTTGTACTTAATAAATATTATAATAGATGCTCAACTTTATATATTTCATATACTTTTGCATATTACGTGCATTTTTGCACTTTTAAATCTCCCGTAACTGCATAAAAAAATTCCGCAGTCTATTTCTATCGAATCCAGTCTTTTTCATCCATTCATTCCCGTTTGCCATCGTTCGTTCCTTTGTCTGTGTTATTCCACTTTATGCGGTATAAATATTGATGACGATGTATTGGATTTAAATTTTTCTCTCTATTTATTCACCTTTATCATGATTCACTTCATTGTTCAAATCGTTTCTGAAGATAAAACGGCCCATTCTCTCTCCTTCGTCTCATAACTCAATTAGTATAATTTGCAATATAAATACATCTCTATATTTCCATAAAATTTTAGCTTCATTATAATAATTTATTTCATATTACCGCTTTGTTAGCAATGTGAACAATAAATAGTATTAATAATATCCTTTAATTTCTATCGAATTAATACTTTTTTATACATTTGTCCACGTTCGATCACGCGCGAAGACGTTCTTTAGCATCGACTTTTTTAAAGATGATAACTAATGTACAAACAGTAATTTGCACAAAGAAAAGGTACTCGGCGAGATACAGTTGATTCATCGCGGTGTGGATGAACGTACGAGAGGAAAACTCTTGTGCAAAAGTATCCAGACACCAATGCTCTTCAAATGGAATGCAACATAAATTAATTGAATCGTAATGCGCGAAAACCAGGGACGTATCGTTAAAATGTCCATACATGGTTTCCACTTTGTCAGAAAATTGATTTTTCAATTAAAATTTTCTACACGGTTGAACATATCGATGTTGCAATATTTATAGCTTTACTTTTATATTCTTTTATCACTTAGTTCTTCATGTTATTTAATTACCTAGTCGGTTAATTGATATTTCATCGGGTGTTACAAATTCATGTTATTTTACTATTATGAATTTCAGTGTTAAATTAATATTTAATTCACTATTATTCTAATATTAAATATTAGATTATTATTATCATATTCTCTTGTGTTAAACATAAATTCTCTCTCTATAATCCTTCTTCACATTTAGTTAATATATCACGAACAAAGAACAAGTCATTGAACTTGTTTGCCACGAATTTTTCCGTTCGCCGTTAGCATAATAAATCGTTTAAGGAATAAAGCTAATTATTCAAACATACCACTAGCACGTAGTAAGAACGACTAACATATTCATGAAAGCAGTGGCAGGAGACACGATCAAAGAATTACTACAATCGTCTAGATGACACCTGTCGAATACGAATAATTAAGCCTTGAAAGGTTACATGATGCAAGAACGTGACTCTTTGATCGTTTTCTGCTATTTCTATGCAACAACTATCGATTATTACGTGATAGATAAGGAATATTCATGAGAAATATTCATTAGAAAAGAATATGCTAATTTTCTAAAATACAAAGAACAGTCTACGGATATTTATGCATTTATGAAAGATTGAAAGTAAATAACCAACTAACATTGTCCTGACAACATTTTCTATCAGCAAAAGTAATTAAATAACCAAGATGGTTTCCTTAAGCCTTATCAATCTCTCTAATTATGAATTTATAGGTATGTTAGCAGGTTCGTACATGTGGGGTTGCTACGCAGCTATCAAAGGGCGAAGGATGTCACTATTGGTCGCGTTATTTCTACATGGTATCTCTGAATTATTGGCGTCGGTGGTGCCATTTTATTGGGTTTTCCTGTTTTTGAAATTTCTAAGCGGTGCAGCGTTAGTATTATTACATTTTATCCAACTTAAGCAGAATAACAGATAGATGATAAATTTAACGACCGTATAATACTTTACACAGTAAAAGTTTGGTTGTGATACGTTTTATTTCACAAAAGTTAAATAACACACGATTGACGATCTTGATTCCCTGTGTCCAAAGCGGAACATTTTATTTCACGACCGTGTTTAATTATTGCTTCAGTATGAATGGACAATCGGCCGTCGTTTTTCTGTATTTGGGTGAATTTCAACCGACTAAATATCGGGACAAAATGCTCTCGTGGATGGAAATGGCTTGGGTGGTTGGAATGATCATTTTAGCAGGTAATTACTGCCAAACTTTACGAATTATAATATATCGTTGATTTAACGTAAAGTCTAAATGTTTGTTTCGTTTATAAATTTTTATAAGATCCAGTAAAGAGATTAAAGTATTAAATTTTCTATTGAAATCAGTTTTAATGGATGTATAATGTATATGTCTTACGTTAAGTTTTAACGATAATAATCTAACGATAACGATCTTAATGATAATAAATCTTAAGTAATTTTTATTAGGAATAAAAGCTCGAAAACATAATCCTGTATTATTTTTAAATATTTCACTTTGCCTGCGTTTCTTTCTCAAAATTTGTTCAACATTGCAAACTGTTTGGAAATTTCAGGCGTCGGTTGGATTATTATTCCGTTGAACGTGAACATCGAAACGGACGGCGGTTTCTTTTTCCATTCGTGGAATCTTTTCGTGTTCATATGCTCCCTTCCAGCCTTGTTGACCGGAACTTGGTTGCTGTTTTTCCCTGAAACACCAAAATATCTCGCGGAGACTGGACACAACGTTCAGATGCTGGACGTTTTAATGAGAATGTACTCTGAAAACAGTGGAGAGCCACCGAAAGAGTACATAGTAAGTATTTATATTCGCTTTTCGAGTAACAGAAATCATTAGAGAATTTCTCAGAAGCTGTAAAAATATTTTGAAAATGAGAGAATTCGATCCTCAAGTCAATTTCTCTCTAACTCGAAATCCTATGTAAATTAAGCCAAACGCGAATGATATTTCTTTTAATTCTTGATTTGTTTATTTGATAAAAATATTCCTGTAATAGCAATGAAAGGAAAAAAACAAAAATTTCTGATCTTCCATTTTCAGACGAAGCTTCGGAACTGCGAGAATAACAATTTAAACGATTTGGTGCACCGAATAATGCACACCAAAGAGAGAGAAGATGTGAGCGAGAAATCCTTCCAAGTGATGATAACTGACATATACATGAAAACCATGATGATATTGAAGCCACCGTTTCTTTGTAGAACGATTGTAATGTGTCTGATCGCATGTTTCGTCACGTCCTCTTATTACACGCTGACTTTATGGCTGCCAGAACTTTTTCATAGATACGCGGACTTTCAGGAGGCGTATCCCAATCAAACAGCTAGCGTTTGCACATTGAAGAGCGCGAAAAATGTTACAGAAATAGTGAGTGATCGAATAACAAATATAAATATGATTTTTAGGTGAAATTTAGAGGAATTTTTCAACATTTCCTAAATATCTCGTTCATAATTTTTTTATCGTTAGACGAAAGAAAAAAAAAGGAAAAAACTATACGTATATATATTAGACAAAAAGGTGGAAATCATTGTAATAGGAATTTTTTCTAGTAGAGAGTTGGCTCTCGCAACGAAATGTCGCATAAATTAAATTTACAATTTGTAATTGTAATTGTTCTAAGGTTAGAAACTAGGAAGAGAGATATTGGGACGATTGCCAAGGAGGCATTACAGAATAGACAAATGAAAATTTTTATATAAAATTTAGTAGATAATTATTCATTTGTTATTCGTTGAATTGAATTTTGCAATGAAACCTCGTATAGAGTAGATATGTAGTTTGCAATTGTAATTATTCTATGAAGAAGAAATTGTATTGTTCTACATTTAGAATTGAAATTAAAGTGATATTAGGATGATTGCCAAGAAGCAATTGCAAAATAGGCAAAAGCACGGAATAGTTTGCGATATGTAGATGGAATACAAAGATCAGATGTTCGTTGTTCATTGCGTTATTATCTATATATAAAACTCTATTTATAGTATGTTACGCGATTTTAATTAGTTATCTAGGATAATTTAAAAATTTCTTAATATAATAAAATATTAAATACTATTATAGTGATTTAATGGGAAAAATTTTGCACAGGATATGTCAGACGATCCGTTCGGCTGCAATTCCAGAGTACAAACTAGCGTGTTCGTGCACACATTTATTTTGGGTGCCTCGTGTATTCCGACAGGGCTGATATTGCCATTATTTGTTAACTACTTAGGATATAAATTTTTCCTCGGTAAGCAAACAAATATCTTTTTCTTTCTACCATTACGAGATATATATATTTTTAGTTCAAAATATATTTTTATCTCTAACACATCCGTTGCTATTAAAATACAACTATTCATCCCTGAATTCTTTGCCTTCCTATTTTCATCAAGGATGTTATCAACAATTATATCAGTGGCATTGTTTAAATTGATCGAATCTATACACCATATGCGCCAAAAGCAATGGATGTGTTAAATATATTTTTGAAATTCTAATTGACTTCATAAGTATACTATCGAGCAATTCGAATTTATCTCTTTAATCTCTAATTGATTTAATTTCATTGCTTAACTTGAGAAATTAGTCTATCGACAGATATCGAATAATTTTGTCTGTCATTTCAGTGATAACAGCTTTCATTCCTGCTGTCGTGACGGCTTGCCTCTTTCTGGTGGAGACGTCCACCCAAAACTTGGTTCTTTCGTGTGCCTATGAGTCCGTCACTTCCGTTTGCTTGAGCGTCGTATATTGCCTTTTAGTCGATCTGTATCCAACGCATTTAAGGTAATCTACCCACCCAGGATTCTTACTTTTTTCCTATACTTAATAATTCTAATAATAAAAATATAAAATAAATCCCAAGAATAAAAATAAATTTAAAGTATCTTTATTTTCTTAATCGTTTCGTAAATATTTCAAGGGAATTCAAAGAGATCGTTCGTGAATTCGATAATTGCGAGAGCATGAATACCTCTGTGATTTACTGTAGAAACTTGACAAAATTTCATCCTTCCGCACGAGTTTTCTAAAAAAAGATCGCCACTTGTTTATTCTCTCCAAAGATACGAAAGAAAGTTTATTGTGTGCTTATCGATCGATATAAATATCCCGGTATATAAGGCTTATTTTTTCGTCTGTGTCAACTGGTTTATTTATAATAGAAACGATCATTCTTTTCGACGATCGAATATTGAACTAATCTGTCGATCTCGAAACATTATCTCGAGTGTTCTTGCTTTCAATACCTATGATAAAATACTTGTCTTCTTATATTATTATAATCGTTATCGTTTATTAATACTATCATTATAGTTGCTAGAGAACGTTATGCAACTTGATTTTTGCAGATCGAAATTGCAGTTGCGTTCTATTGCGAAATGTGATTGAAATTTTCATCATTGATATTTCTTTCATAAATTGAGATTTGTGTAGCTGTTGTTAGGTGTCTTTGGAATTATGTAACTGGAATAAACGTTATTATCGTAACAGAGAGACCTTATCGTTGGAATATTAGGTAGAGATCTATGATTAAAATAGAAATTACGTCCTTAGGGAAATTTACAAAATTCGTTGTTTCTTCGTTATACATTAACTCAATTATAATGTAAAAATATTGAAAGTTAATTACGATCATTACCATTTACTATTTTGTAACAGAATCGTGTTATCATCGACGTAAACTTATGATTCTTACCGAATATAAGAAAATTAATTACCCGAAACTGTCACAAAATTAATGATATAAAGCTCGATAATTTTCAAATATAATTCTGTTTCAGAGCAATGGCGTCCGGTTTGTCTGCCTTTATCAGTAGAATAGGTGCCATTAGTGGTACTCTAATGATCGGATACTTGATCGACGACTATTGTACATTGGTGATTGTTATCGTAGCTGCTCAATTATTCCGTATGTATTCAAATTCCGACCTCTCCATTTTTTAATTAGGTCTTAAATTATCTTCATACAGATGTATTGTGTTGTATCTACTTATCGCGTTTAAATAGCGATAATGTCGTGACAATACTTGTTACATCTGTTAGACTACTCAAATTCATTCAATATCTGCAAATATATTTATAAGTTACTTTTAATTTAATGCTTTCTTCCTTATATAATGTCTTATCGAATATTTATATGCGTGACATTTATTTATTTATTCCAGTGAGTGGTTTGTTAGCCCTGTTTACACCAGGAAGAAAGAAATCGAAAGCGATAGACGTTGAGAAATCTTAACGACAGTACGGATTAAGCTAAAGAAAGTGGGACGAAAGAAAAGAAACAATCAAAAAGGTTTTTACATTCACAAGAAAAATTCTATATAATTTACTTTTCCATTTTTCTTTTTTTCTTAATAATATAAACGCATTTCGCTTGGAAACAAGAAATATAGGCAATTTTATCGATGAGAGAATTTAATTAAACTCGAAATAATTAGAGGATCTCTTATTTAACACCAGAAAGTCCAATCAAAACGACTAATTCACAACGATTGATAAAAATTATTATTTTCATTAGTAAGCGTGACATAATTATTTGCAACTCTTTAAGCTACGGTGCTTCTGGTGTTAAAACATCTTTACTTTCCCTTAAGTTCTGTCAAGTTAAGAGTATGAAAACATGTTATTACTTAAATGTACGATATAATATTACAACTTAAATTTAGAGGAAAGATATTAGTGTTAAATTTACAGTATTTCTTTCTCGTAATGGTTAAGAACGTTAATGTCTTCATTTCTTGTTAACGAATTATATACTTATCTATATACATATACATATATAGAAACACCATCTTCTAATAACTAAACTATCGTGCCTGTGTACTTTCTGCGTATACTTTATCACGGCCGGTGTTTGCGTTATTTTATACATTTTTCTTAATACACACCGGACATAATTTAGTATACTATAAGAGGATGCCTGTTATTGATCGAGTGTATTTTGCAAGTGAAGATTATTCTTCCTATACAATGGCTATTGCAAGTGAAGATTATTCTTCCTATACAATGGCTACAAAAAGTAGCGGCACGTATTTTCCGATGAAGCATCTTTTTTTATCAGGTCGTACATTTCATTTTCACAGTATTAAATTTTTACAGTCATATAGTACGAAATCTTACGTACTCGGAATTAATTAATTAGTACGTAAATATTATGATCAATATGTACAATGCTATGCCAATATATTTTGTAGCCACCGTATAGATATTTGTAGCTGCTATGAAAATTTTACGTGACAGTTTCACGTAACGCACACAATGTTTGTGAATACTCAGCAAATTCGAGAGGTTCACGATGATGAAAGTATATATGTGTTACATATTTTTCTACATTTCTAAAATATTAATATCTTCATCGAGCGTCGTATACGGTAGTTAAAAAGTATACAGAATCTTTGTTTTGTAATTACAATCTCGTAACATGTATTCCAGGATATTGTACTTTATTCTTCTAATTTATGGAAGAAGAGAAATGGCTACTTTGTTCTCTTCAGAATTTACAGAGCGATTTGGAAGGAGTATGAATAAAATTTAGAGAAACTGTCGCGGTTCGAATTTCTATTGTTGTCATAACGAGGGAATAAAATTAATATGAAGTGCCCTTTGGTAAACTTTGAGAAATTTGGATTTTACATTTTACTAGAACGTGAAAAGCATTCTGTCGTAATAAGAATGGCAAATTTTCTCAAAGAATAAAGAAAGTAGAAGATGATAAATCTACAGAATTTATCGCAAAACTGACCTGAAAGTAAATTGTTCGACTTTGTCTTAGTATTTTAAAAATCATTTAACATTAAACTTATCATTTTTCTGTGACAACAGAACAATTTTAAGTTGCAATACCTGTACGTATAATTACCGTGAAAATAATTAAACGATCGTTTAAAAACTTACTACACTCGTTCTAAAATAACCTGTAGAATATTCTGTTAAAATATTATATACAACGAAAAAGATCTTCGAATAAATAGATTAACGTATTTAGTACTTAATACACATACAGCTAAAAAAGCTAGGCAGGAAATAAATGCTCAATTATATAAACCATTATCACGACGATCTCTCGTATTGTTAACACAGTGCCACGATATTTCTTCAACATTGCAAATTGTACGGTGTTAAGGGGCCCGCATACGATTAATAATATTGCCAATATCGCCAAGTATTGTCAAACAGTATTCATCGTGTGCAGATCTCTTTACGAAGCTTGATTCGATCGATCAGCCTCGAACTCTATGTAAATGAATATCGAACGCGACGATCGTATTCCTGACGCGTGTTATTCTTCTATTTTTCTATGTACGAGACTTTTTATATTGTAGACTGTTTATATGCCGGCCATCGAAGTACAATAAAAAATATGTTCTTGCTGAACCTATCAAAATCAATTGTCGTCTATTATTTTTTGAAAGTTCGAAATTTATATAAAGTGATTTCAAAATGTTGTTACCGTATAAAGGAAAATTTATTAATATTTCTTATCAGTGATCTTAAAAGGACTACAGGAAAGAAGGCTACTTCAATCAAGATTTCTACTATTCGTATAAATTTTGAAACAACGTTTTTATCTACAAAGAGTGATAGAAGATATGGATAATAATTTTGGAATTTCGAAATCCTTTATGTCCGAGAAGAGTTCATTTATATTCTGCTATCAATAAATCTAGAAATTTCAGTTGAAATAGAAGTCTTGTCTACGATCTTTTCGAAACCATTGATTTTATGGGACGCAAAGAAAAAAAAGGATCTATTAATTTCATAACCGCTTACTGATAAGAGTTCATATCATTTTATGTTTTCGAAGACATTCGCGTGCAACAGTAAATCTCTCCCTTACGAAATATCCTAATTCATAAACACCTCCTAAACCACGTCCCTCCTCTCGAAAACCTATTTGTACCAAAAACTCATTCTATTTTCGTAACCGTATTTTACCACTTTGTATCAGCCTACTCGTTCAACATTGTTGACATTGACACGAAGCCTAAACGGTGTGTTTTGCAATTGGACCATGGCCATTTTTAAAGAAATACTTCTAATTCTTTCCGATCTACTTAGCGGTTTTTTTTTTCATTTTCGCGTTCCTCTGTTTCACAATGAAATCTTAATTAAATATCGTAATGGCGAATATCGTTGTTTGGATGATGGCAATTAATTATTATTTTTTTCTCGCGACGCATCGATGACGGAGATATTGGGATGGCGATCGAATATTTGGCGCGAATCCACCGATCGCTTGCCAACACAGCGTTCGCGCGCATGCACGATATGCGAACTTAAGGAAAATTACAGGCTTACCTTGTCGATCTACGATTTAAACGCTTAGTTTCGTTTCATACCTGACGCGACTATTACTTCTCGATTAGTTGCCCTTTTATACTAATTCCATTCCGATATATATGTATACCGACCAACTCTTTTGTTTTGTGTTGCAAGAAGAAGACACGATACGACGATTTCGTCTTGAAAACTAATTTCACTTAGCCAATGTGAGTTCGATTAATAAACTGCGGGTATTTATGCAAATTCGTATCTCTCTGAGTAAAATTTAGAAAATATCTGTTTTATCCAGCAGATATTACAACGAATACTACGCTTGAAATGTTTTTGCATTTAATGCGTAGTCAGTTTGTTGTGGTTCAGTTTGTGTGTTTTTGAAATAAATTTGTGAATTTGGTGGTTTATGAGAGACTCGGTGGAAAAGCTGCAACGAGTTGTAAGTTGGAAAATGAGATAAATGCGGGTAACATAGAAAATATAAGATTGAAATTAGAGGATTCTATTATCAGTATATATATTTTAAAGCGTTTATCAAATTTCGTGAAATTTACACGCAAAATTTGTTGTACGAACGTTATTCAAATTATTTGCAAAACTATCTTTTTGAAAGAACTTCTATTCTTGAGAGTATGATTTTGTTATTTATACCAATTTCCCTCGGAGTCTCTCGAATACTAAATAAAATTCGAAATTTCTTTACTGCTTTAACAAGAATTTCAATGATAACAATAATGTGAAATATCTAATAATGTGTGTGTATTGTTACAATTAAATAAAAAAAATCATAAATTATGTACAGTCTAACTCTTGCTATAGATAACATTAAATAGCGGATCATGAATTAAATTTCTTAACTCTTGCAGCGGCTAACACTTTTTTCCTACAAATAACTGGCATTAATTTATGAAATAAATATATTTCGCTTGATATAAATATGATACATTTTCATTTTCAAAAAATGTACATATAACCATCGATTCTAACAAAAATATTAATAAAAATACTTGTCCCCATAAATAAATAAATTTATAAGAAAAGATCGCAATGGCAATTTTCATCTATATTTATATCATTTCGCAAATTTCTCGTTATCTCCGGTTATTTCGTGTCACAAAAATCACGGTGATCCTTTGATTCGATGTTTGGATCATATTCAGGCGACGTACACGTGTGTCTGATAAAACAGACATCTAAATCGTCGTCCTGATTACGTAATACAGAATCTTGGCCATAGTCCGAGTAAAATGGCCACAGTTTTCATTCACTCACTCGTTGACCACGATAATCGCGATTAATTTTGTCGTGTTTAATCCCATTGCGGATATTGTTGGCTTTGTTATGGGGAAAAATTGACGGATTGGAATGACGAATTATGAATGATGACACAAATCAAGGGTGGTCATTGATTCGACAGATGTCAAAGTTGATGTATCGGCCTGTGCGAGATGGAAATCGTCGTGTGTTTTGACCGTTAACGATAACATGTTTGTTATGCGAAACGTTGTTACGGTAGAAATATATTTTCTACTTCTTTTCCTTCTTTTGTTTCTTTTGGTGTTTCGAAAAAATTTCTAGTGATTCTCTCAAATGTAGTGAAGAAAGAAAGATTTGATAGAGAGGAAAGATGTTGAATTTGTTACATTTTCGAATATTTTGGAAAAAACTTGAAGAACTGGTTGTTTTAAAGACATCAAAGAAGAAAAGATGTTGGATTTTTCTTATTTGAGGTAATTAGAAAATAAAAAGTTTGATTAACGTCCTCTGTTTTTCCGGTGGTTTGCTCTTTTAGTATAAAACTTTATGATTGGGATTCGTGATCACTGTAAATTCATAATGCAACCTAATCCAAAGGGAAATATTACAAAGAAGTTGGATTTACCAATTCCTGGTTCTACAAAAATCGTATAAACTAAAATTGAACAGTCTAAAATAATGTTCCATCAAAATTTACAAATCAGTATACTTGTAGTTATCACATAATCTACGACTATACACTAATGTATGTATGTAATGTATGAATCTGTAGTGGAATAACTCCAATATGACTCAGTATCGTACAATGCGATTTAAAAATAACAAATATTCGTTTTATTGCCACTCGATTAATATCTCGATTGTTTCTATCAATTCATTTGAGAAACAAAATTTTCGTTCAAGTATCAACTCGAACTTGACAAATTCGTTTCCTAAGCAAACGAAGATATTCGTGTTTAATGGTTCGATCCACTCTACCGACATATTCCAGCTCGATAAGAGAACAGATAAATCTCTCTAATTCGGGGACTTTAACCGTACGATTCTGTGATAATGTTGCAACGATCTCGATCAACAAGAGTACGATACGAAAACAAAATACTGAAATATTACAGAAAAAAACCCATTTAACAATCTCCAATTTTACGACTTAAGATCCAAGTAAAATCAAGATAAAGTTCGAATAAATAAAATTTAAATAAGATTTCTATCGATTCGAAAAAAAAAATTCCATCGAATCAACTCATGTCTGAAGAATTCAATAAAATATCTAGAAAATTTCATAAAAAGACGCTGAAACAGTATTGTGTTTTAGAGAATGGAAATATTTTTTGTTAGCTCAGCTAAGTCGTCGATCTTACAAATTCCATGAAACGATAACGTAGCCTGTTTAATCGATTTGTGGTTTATGGCTTTTAAATCGTGTAAACTTCCGCTTTTTGCGATTTTCACGACATAATCGACGATAATTAGTGATAAGTCTTATAACGCTACATTGTATACGCATTAATCAGGGAAAACAAGCGTACATAATGATCGTTGATATTGTAAATTACTCAGACTTATGTGGTTTTATATTGTTTTTACGATCGCTGTACAGATATTTTTAACAAAGTTAATGTTACCTTACATTCGCCTTTGGAGGACTACAGTTTCAGATTTTAGACACTTAAATAAAGATGAGTATTAATATGCAAAAATATCGCTTGAAATTTATTTTTCAAGTTATAAACAATTGAATTTTTCACTAAAAACATCTGTAAATAGGTATTAACACAATGAACGTAACTGTCAATAGTTCGCATATTATAATAGAAGAAATATAACTGAATCTTATATCAAAAAAATATGCACCAACTTATTCACGCTTGACCTAGACGTGATTAAATTTGATGTGACCGATTATTATCTGGATAAAACTAGCCACGCGTCATCATTTTCATTTAGCCGTAAACAGGCTTATCGGAGAAACATATGGAGTAACAACATAAACTGTCGTGATCTTGCTTCGAATGAAAGATCTAGAAAATTGTATCAAATGTATCTAGACCTAATTGGGTTATCTATGAAATAATATAAATTTGATATCTACAGCATGAAATAATAAGTACAGTGGCTACAAAATGTATCGGCAGACAACTATATTTATTATAGCATTTGCATATTGATTAACCTCTTGTAATCTTCTGCTAGCCTTAGCTTTTATCTGTTTGCTGTTGAAACGAATATCGTTGAAACGAGACATTGAATTATTGTACGCGATGTCTTTTCAGTGATCATGGTCTTGCAATATGAAAGTAAAAAATGAAAGTATATCATTGAAATTTGATACTTTGATACTTTAATTTGAATCCGGTCTGTCTTCGCGTATTTCATCCATAAAACATACCATATATGTAACTCAATATTATGAGGCAAAGAGTTAATTGCACTTGGTTGTGATTCATATGACTAGAAAAATTAGGTACTATGAAATTTGATAAAATAATCACTTCAGTGAGAAGTAAGGATATGTGCCAATACTTTTTGTATTGTTTTTATGTAGATCAAAATTGAATTATAGGTAAATCGAAATGTAACAGAATAGAGTCTGAGATTAAGTTAATTAAGAAATAATCTGGGGTTTTAACTGGGATTTCGTATCGGACTTTAATTAAAAGATTATACGAAATAGTATGAAATGAAAGACAAAAGAATTTATAAGGTATAAGTTCAATGGAAATCTGATTGATAAAATTGAATGGATATAATGAAATTAAAATAAAATTCAATTAAATTGAAACAAAATGAAAGATGAGGAATATGATAGCTAATAATGTTCTTATATCGCTATATCTAGTTACTCATTCTCTTAAATGTTTCGTAATAAAAAAATTTAATTCCTTTTATTACATCGATTACGCTAACACACCAGCAATACATTAACAAGATAAACATAAGTATAAATTGTATTCCTAAGATGTATTACATTAAGATTTATTATTAATAAATATCTCGTTAATATCTTAACGATTATTACGTTCAAATAGCTTAGGTTTCAGACTCTTAAGTGTCTCGAAACAATAAAAGTGGGATTTATACCACTTGAAAGAAAACGAACAATTTTATATATTGATATAGCTACTTGCATTTTCTTATCGATCAATTTATTACAAGTATCAAGTAGGGACTTAAGATGTCTGCTCCCCCCGAAATATCTAAAAACACTGCTCACCTGGTAATCAAGTTGTTAATGTAGCTAAAATTACTCGCGAATGGTTAATTTAACCAATATACAAATGTCAACTATTATTACCTATATCCCTATCTCATTTATAAGATTTACTACATATTTGTGGGCGTATTATCGAAAAATCCCTTCCGTCATACTTGGCCCCGATAAAACGTCATGTTTTCTTCAGTCACTCGTACTACTGTCTGCTTAAACATTCCGTCGAGATTTCCAAGTGCAATATGCTGTTTCATGCGTGACGTTTATAATTGGCTTGTAGAAATAACCGGGTAAAATTTGGACGGAAATACCGGTTGTAAAGATACGGTTGGACGAATTTTGTGTGGCATCCATCTTTGGACAATTCATAATGAAATTTGACAGTTTTAGATTGAATTCTGTCGTATATTATTAATTTCGTAATATTATACCTCAACAAACTGTCGATTAACTAAATGATATTCGTCAATGTTATAACATATTGTTATAAGTATTTGTTTTTTATCAGATTGGTATTAGATCTAGCGTATCACGTCTTCTTTTTAAGAAATGTCCAATGATAAAAGATTAAGTCAAAAACCAACTTTGTAAAGACTACAATAAAGTGGGTGAAGAATAATAAAATCATAAGGGCAAAAGTAATAGGTAATAAAGGTACAAAGCCTACAAATTTATTGACCATAGTTGCCCAAATAGTATTAAGATAATTATATGATATTCACATTTAAAGATATCATTTTAAAGCTAATTACAAATATGCTAACATCTGTTATTTTTATGAAATTTCTGTTTCTACATAATTTTAATTACTACAGATCTTTTCAAAGCTGGTCAAAAATGGTTTCGGGTACAATAGTAACATATTATCATTTGTAATATTATCATTAGGTTATATAAGTTCAAGGTGTTGAATATTCATCTATATAAGGTACAAATGCTGTAAATATTCTTCATCACGTGAAATAGAATATTAAATCAAAACTAGATGAGATATCCTTAGATATCAAAGAGTGCAAAATAATCGTAGATGGCATTCCAAGCATGATATACTATGTGATAAACAGGTTACCTCGCACATCTAACCGAATTTCGTCCAAACACTTTATTTATTTACTGCAAATCTTATTACATATTTGGACAACGTGCATGCAGACCCTGAAAATGTAGCTTATCTTTTTATCGTTATAAATCATATACATACCTACATAATACAGTAAAAAAGTACGTCGTCACGCGTTGTCAGTCGTCAGTTTCATTCCACGCATCGAAATCTCTTGAACATTTGTGCACTATCAAACAAATTACACTCAGTTAAAAAGATGCATTCATATTAAATGATCTACCAATTATATTATTAATTTGAAATTGATTCTACAATAACCTTTACTTTGATGAAATTATTAAAAATTCTTCTATTATGCAGCCCTATTAGTATTATGGAAAACTGAGAATTTCGATGTGCCAACTGGTGGCAGGAAATTGAACTACTGAAAATAGGTCGAATATCCAAATAATCGCTAATGTCTAAATGGATACGTTGTGAAAAACGAGTGTCTTTATATTTGTTTTAATGCGTTTAAATTGATCGTTATGATAAGAGTCATATAATCATTTAATCAATTATAAAAATTTACGCATTAACATTTTCTCCTAGAAGAGATAAAATTAAAATACGTGGGCCGGTCAATTAATGTATATAGAATCCAAAGAAGGCTACCCATGAAAGTTATAAAGCCAATCATTAGGTAGCTAACTATGGTGCTACCTCCTTTGGTTACATTAAAAAAATAATTAAATGTGATCTTAAGAGTTGAATGATGAGAGAAAAAAATTTGAAACCATGCACTGTAGCTACTTTTTTAAAAATAAAATACATTCATTTACAATACTAAACGTGTGTAAAAACTTTGCTAATAGAAGAATCTTCCAGTTCCAAATTTCTTTGATGAGAATCAATGACGCAGACGTACCGACGTAGATGTACAGTACGAAAAACCCACTCGTAACACATACGTTTCCATCATTAGGAGCAAACGTGTTAATAATAGTAATAATTTAGTCCAATTTTTATCAAAAATTAGGATTAGTCAAGAACTAAGAAGTTGATTGGAAAATAAAGAACTCTAAATGACCACTCGGTTATTTAGTATTACACATCGAATGACGAAAAGGTAATTAATCAGTGATTTTTCCTTATACTCTATATACTCTATAAACAAAGTCAATTTATTATTCCCATATTGGTAGAACAATTATAAATAATTTGATTAAAGTAAAGGATATTGTTAATGATATTGGTAGAATTAATTTCAAACTCTGTATTTATGTATGTATTTCTAAATTTTCAGATTGATTTTAAATATTGCATCATATGCATTTTAAATAATGCGCATAGTCATAACGTGTCTCGTTACAACGTCGCTAATGAAGTTTCAAAATGTTTCATATAACACGCATAATATGTCCGTAAAGATTTTTATAGTAATGTATTCAAATACATCTGTAAGCTCGAATAACATCCTTTATTAATAAAGAACAGAATAAGCTTTTATGCAAAATAGTAAGTTCAATTCGGCGACCATGTCAGATAAAGGTATCACCGATGCATAATGCGGACAGAATTCTCGTACGTAATAAAACAACCTCGTAAGAGTAAACCGGTGTATTTTAATCAAAGTAATCTGAAGCAATTAGAAATCCCGTGATACTTGTTACAACTGTCTTATCAATTAGGTGCACGACTGTATCGTATGACATAAACAATTATTGCAAAACTGTTCTTAACGCACACAGTTCTATACTCTTCTCTATACTTACACTCTTCCGTACACATACACACTAAACCCTGTGTAAACAAACGGGGTGGATATCAGGAATTTTCAGAACACTCAGATTTCTTTCCGTTCTTGCTTCCTTTCTCTTTTCTTTTCTTTTTTTGCTCGATCAAATTTTTCTCAACAAAAGCCTCAAGTACCTTTAACTAGAGGGAAAAGCGAAGACAAAGAAGAAGGAGGAAAAAGACAGACAGGTAAGAGTGACAGAGACAAACGAAGCTTTATATCTTATCTGGGGAGAAGACTAATAACTAAAAAGAGAGGAGATATATGCTGGGGCACGATCGATTTTTTGGTCAGTCGTTCGTTCACCACCGAGGGTCGTGCTTGGATCAAAAACTTAGTTATGAAGACTATAAGACGTTTCTAGTGCAACCTTCGTCTTTATTTCGTTCCAGAAGTATCTGCAATTCATCGAATTTGAAAGTTGGAACTTTCATTTACAAAGAGAAACTCGAAGGGAGAGGAACTTTATAAAGATCGATTATCGATCAATAATAAAAGGTAGAAGATTTTGTACGAGAAGGTGGAAGAATTTCGTGAGGGTATAAAAAGGGAATACTCCCCGGTGGAAAGTCATCGCCAAAATTCGCTTGGGCGATAAAAACGGCGATCAAATACCACCGAGTGTTCACCAATGAGCGTGGCGTACGGTGGTTGCAGACGAGGACAAAACCGTGGAACACGAACAAGGAACAGAGAGTGCTATACTTTGGCGACCGGGGTCCTCCAGAGTCCCGAATTCTCACCGACACCACCTGACCTCATCACTTCACGAGAGACTAACGTACATCTCCGCAACGTAACCGCAAACCATGGGTAGGTTTTCATGACGATTTAAAATATAGAAAATACTGTCGTATAATGATAACGATGAAGATGACGATAATAATGATCATGGTAGAATGAGAGTAGTGGTTGTATACGTTTCTGATTCTGGATCTTTAGATTTTTAGATTCTTAGATTCTTAGATTCTTAGATTCTTAAATCATTTTCTTATTTATGAATATGTTTTAAAAAGTTAACAAATATCAGTTTGTATTTTTATGGAATGAGTAGAATAAGAATAGCTATGGTTTTAAGGGTTGATTTTGAATTGTAGATTCTTTAATATTAATTTTGTTGTTTATGAGAATGCTAAGAATTTGAGAAATATTAGTTTGCTGTTCGTTTGAAATTATTTAATGATATTTCTATGGATTTTCTTCCATTTACTGATTTATTTTATACTTTTATTTTCTTCTGCATATTTATTTTTTTTTTTATTTGTTTGGAATTAGTTGGTGGAATTTTTATGAAATAAGTAAAATAAGAATAGTTACAAGTCTTAAAGTTGATTTTGAATTAGAAATTGTAAGAATCACCACCAGCACTTTTTAGAGGCTTTCTCTGTCTTTCTAATAATTCTTTTTATTTTCTGAAGTAGTTATTGCGATCAAATTTAGTAATGATTACTGACATTAACAAACAATTCTAAATCGAGTTCATTTTGATGGCTGATAGACTGAAAAATAAACTATTATTACCGACATTAACATAATCACATATATCTATGATAGTATATAATAGAATAGATGGATATTATCACCGTAGATACATGTTTTACTGATTGCAATACAAGATAATATTGTTGCGGTTTTTCTATTTCATTCTTAGTGCCATTAATGTATTTGCTATCACTGCTTTGCTAGCGATACCATCATTACTAATCAACATATTGCTGTAGCTATTAATATAACATTACTCAACCACTGATTTCTTTTTGATAGCAAAGGATAATCGTCTCGAGAGATTATGAAATATATTTATGATAAAAATCTTTGGATATTTAGATTAAAAAAATCAAAATAACGAATTAAGTGACTTTAATCAAACATCATGTGTCTATATTAAAATTTTTCCAATTAAAAATTTTTTATATAGTCACATTTAATTTATTGTCCAAAATTATTTCTATAATAATTGGAAAGATATAAATCATAATCTTTTATATCGCCGCTAACAACAAATTGCACTTTTCTATGTACCAAAAATCTCTTGAAACATTATAGGAATAATTTTGCATGATCTATTAACTGATAATTATTCATTACTTCATATAATACTTTGTTCATTATCGTGAACACGTATCTACATGAAAATAAAAATTTTAATATATTTTAATATATTTATCAAAAACATGTTTCCAATCATTATCGAATAAAATTTGCATTGTATTTTATCAATTATTTATTTAATGTAAAACACTGTACTAAACTTTAGCGAGAATTCGACATTTAGCAAGTCAAAAAAGCATTTGTAACGATCATCATCCAAGTAAACTTTGCACGATCTATCAAACATCAATTCTTTAAATATCTTACTCAACGTAAAAATTCCATGGCAAACACGTGTCCACGAAACATACTGATACACTGATACACTATCGCGATCTTTCCTCAAATAACAATAGAAAACATGATATTTTAAGAAGCTCATAAATCTTTTGGTCTTTGACAGGGCTCGACTTCTTGGCAGACGGAGGTGCCGATTTCGAGCATGCAATCACCGTAACAGGTAATCAATCCTCTTTCTTTTCCGTATTGATTAAGTATTAATCATTGAAGAAAACCAAAGCTTTATCATAATAAAATTTGATCTTGATCAACGGGGATAGAAAATATCATTGCAAAACTGCGTTTACAAAAATAATTTTGATTACACTCATTTCAATGATTTCCTTGTACGGAATATACACGATTAATAATCATCACTTTTGAAATGCAAATGAGAATTGAATTTATCACAATTTCTAACTAAATATTCAGCCAACGTGGATTGTTTAAAGATATGTTTCATATGTTTAATGACATCTTTTCTTCCAATTAAATTTTTCGTTTAGTTAATTTGAGACTAAATTTGATGATAAGTATATCTTAACGTTGATTCTTAACATTTTAATTTAGACGTAAATGATTGGTAGTTTTAGTGTCAATTGCATTTAATTACGCTAGTGGTATGGTTTAAAGTGTGTAAGTATTTGAATAATGAGATTGTAAAATACAGGGGATATCTAGTTCAAGAGCACTGTTTGATTTACGTATTGTATTTGCATAAATACAATTAACGTCAGCATCAAAACCGGATCAAACTTGTTACTCTTCTTGAAAAATGCTGATTCACGCGGAAGAACGATATTTCTTTCATCTCGATATAATTCTATTATGATTATGATGAAAAAATTTCAATTATATATGAATCTTAATCAATTCTCATTTACAAATTGCAAAACTTCAATAAAAGATATTTATATTTTCATATTATCAATTGTTTCTTAAATTCTTAAATGAAAATTTATCTTTTTTAATCCGGAAATAGAAATGTTTATTATTTTTAAATCGTACAACTAATCTTCGAATTACTTTCACCCTCTTGATCTCTGCAAAGTACAGCAATACGCATAAATTCGTATTTCACGACAACTTTACATTATACACTGTATTATGATGATATACAAAGTATTCAAACTGGTAAGACTGTTATTTAATTCCGGTATACCAGAAAAGTCTGTAATCTTTGATAACTCCAAGAAGGAGTTTATTGCTGCTATATAAATTCCTTTTGAGCCAACTGCTTCCAAATAACACAGGCTAGATAATTCGATTACGATTCATTCTGGATTCTTTGTATTAGTTAAGTATACGCGTCTTGATGAAAAACGAAATTACAAACAAATATTGTTTTCGGAAAGTTGTAAAAATATAAATATGTTTCCTTATGCAATAAAAAATATAAGATTATTGTATTTTAAGAAACGTTACAAGGATTCTTACCAAAAGCAAAAAGGTAAATGATGTTATGTTCGATCGATGTTTCCAGTTCTTTGGCCACGTTCATTCACAAACATTCCAAATTCATTCCATAGCAAAACGAGACTTCTACTCTTCCACGTACAAAAAAGATGTTTAAAACACTACCTGGGAAATAGCTGAGCTATCATCTTCTTCTCCTAAATTCTGTAATATCACAAAATATTAATCATATGTAATTAATTAACACATACAGATACTAAATTGCAAGAAAATTTTAAATCTTGCAAAAGAAGTTAGTACTTACTTATTATACTTATTCATGCACTCCTCCTAACTTCCTGACCTAGTAATAAAGTTTAAGGATTTCAACCAGTTTTTCTTATCAGTCTGGCTCAAAACCATGACATCCAAACGTGGTGTTGGCCAACAAGTGGTCGATGAATTGGATTCTACTCTGACATAAATGGTAGGTCCGTCTTCGTTGTTTCCATTACACCTGGATTAGTTATTGCATATAATACAGTAAATCCATCCTTATTCTCGATAAACTTATCCGTTCTTGCTTCACTGTCTGATGTTCCGCGTTCAAGTTCCCTTTCATTGTGTGAATTTCTCGGTCCAATTTCTTTGTTTGCTCATCTAAATGCATATCCATTTCTATTATGGACATCATCCCTGTTGTATTTGGTTGTACGGTTTCCATCTTAAGAGTAGCATTCTCTGATTCTAGTTATTAACAGGCGTCTGTTCCAGGCGTCGTAATAATTCTTTCAAAATGCTCACTTTACACAAATTTTGCTCTTCTTCTTCTTCTTCTTCTTCTCCTTCTTCTTCTTCTTCTTCTTCGAGAAAGAGAGAGAATCCTGTAATCAAAATATTGTTCACCTAAATTTAGATAATCGGGGAATTATCTCGAGTCAAATTTTAAGCATAATGTTAAAATTACGAGTCGTAAAATCTTGCAAATTTTTCGAGACAACGACTACAAATGATTACCTTATCTTTTATTCCATTATACGTATCAGGAAAAAAGAAGAAAGTTGGAAACAAGTTAATGTTGACTCTTAGAAGATTTAACAAAAGCTTACAGTATGAATCAAAGATCAAATAGTTTCTTGATTGCAACGATAAATCCTTTCCTTGTAACTTCTTTAAGATTTGAATAAATATTTATAAGATTATATTTTTCTTATCAGGATTCGGGAAATTTCACTACATGCTGTTGGCGGTTTGCGGTTTAATTTATATGGATACCGCCATTGGAGTCACGATACTTTCGTTTGTATTACCAGCAGCACAATGCGACCTGGAAATGGATTCCACCGCGAAAGGCTGGCTAACAGCATCACCAATGCTGGGTGAGCACCATAAAATCTTTACAAAATTAATATCTTTACGTATTTTTACTTTCTTCGCTTAATAAGTTTAGAATTCTTCAATTCAGAAGGGAGAATTTTTTAGAGAATTTTTGAATTTGTGCTGAGAAAAAATTGTTCCCACGATCAGTTTCCATGTTTTCCTAACAGGAAAATTTTTTAAACGATAAATTTTATTTAATTTAAACGAAAGAAAATATTTTCCAATGATCAATTTTTAACCTACGCTGAGACATTTATCAAAAATACTATTGTTCAATCCTCAAATTTATTTAATTCCCTGTCAGAAATATATAATTTTGATTTTTATCGAATGAAATTTCCTTAATATGAAGGAATAGCCTCTTTAAAGGGAGCATATTGATCAGACTTGGTATTATAACATCTCTATCTCCTAATGAATGGAGGTGTCTGACTCATAGCGAATATTTCTACTCAAACTTTTATCGCTCAGCGCTTAACACGTCGAAACGTGTTTAACGAAGAAAATCACATGCCGCATGTGTATCACGTGGAAATTATTTTATTATCAGCAATAATCTATTAGGAAAGAACCAAAGTTAAGAAACCATATGATACTATTTCATACGTTTTTCGATTCTCTCATTCCTTTCTTTTACCGTAAACCATACGTTATAGAACTAGTTTAAAAATAAAAAACTAACTTTTACTTTCTTATTCATAGGGATGGTGATTGGTTCTTACATATGGGGGTGCCTGGCTGATACCAAAGGAAGAAAAGTTGTATTAATCGCTACATTGTTAATGGATGGCATTGTTGGCATTGCTTCTTCCTTTGTCCAGTACTTTTGGGTTTTCCTGATATTCCGTTTCTTTAACGGTTTCGCGTAAGTGTACTGTAATTGAATGTTAAATCCTTTATATCTTATGTTCCCCACCTCAGACACTTTTTATTTTTCTTTTCGTTTTGTTCCTATTTTTATTCTTTTATTTTATATATACAGCGTTACCGGAGCTATGGGAATTTGTTTTCCGTATTTAGGGGAGTTTCAGGCGACAAAATATCGCGAAAAATGTCTTTGTTGGATGGAAATGTTCTGGACAGTCGGAGTCATAGTATTACCACGTGAGTCTCATCTTGTAATTTCATTTATACGTAATATTCCTTCTTAACATTGAATAAAGTAAATCTGTATGAACCTTCGCGAATAACAACAGCATCAATATGGTGCAGCGGGAAACTTGGATAATTCAAATAAATTTCTTAGCTCGTCGTTCCATTCCAGATATTCTTCAACAAATATTATTGTAATACGAAGTGGTGAGAAATTTGAATAATTTGAATTGTTCTCTTACAACGTACTACTTTATTCAAAGTATTAATGATCGAATAACCTATACTGTTTTATTAATTCACCGTTCTATTAAAACTGTTAATCAGATTTTTTAATCTAATTAGCTTTGCAATTTAATCACTATTTTTTCTCTTCGTTTATTCAGTGATAGCATGGCTGATCATACCGATGAACTTCATGTACGTCTCGGACATGTTCTACTTTAAATCATGGAATCTCTTCGTAGCGCTGTGCGCTCTGCCCTCGATAATGTTGGGCCTGTGGTTGTTTGCATTCCCGGAGAGCCCGAAATTTCTCCTCGAATGTGGCGAAACGGAAGCTGCCCTCGAAGTATTTAAATGGATCTACTCGCAGAACACTGGAAAAGACGCTGACTCTTACCCGGTAATGAAGTACACAAAAACACCTAGTCCAGATCTTTTCAGATTTCGTTAGATTTATTTTCCGACATTGTCTTTTCAGGACGAACAATTTCTCGTTTCGCAAGTTTCTCGTGTTAGCAACTACTAAAATCAACTAATAAAAAATTAATTGATTAATGAGAATTTAACTAATATCATCTTCTTTTTTATTTCTAACGTCTTGTTTGTGTAATCATCCGTTTCTTCATTCAGGTAAAATCACTGCAAGAAAAAACTAAAGACAAAAGCACGAGGTTGTTGAAACTGCACAAACGAAAGGATCTAAAGGTGCTTTTAAAGGAAGTACGTGATCTAACTGCTGCTCTCTGTAAATCGCCGTACCTTAGGAACACATTGCTCGCCTGTGGAATTCAATTTGGCCTTACCAGTAGTTACTACACCCTCATGGTTTGGTTCCCAGAATTATTCACCAGGTGCGTATATTCCTTCCGAAAAATATTTTTATGTTCCTTTCAAAAGTTATTGCGCCTGGCCGATTTATTAAATCGATTGTTTAATTGACTCAGCGGGATTGAACATCTAACTGTTTCAATAGATTCGAACAATTTGAACACGAATATCCTGGCGAATCCACGTCGGTTTGCATAGTATCGTCTTTATCGAGTGATAATGGAACTACAGTCCAGGATTACGGATGCGACACTGTAATTGCGCCTTCCGTTTATCTTCACACAGTTTACATAGGACTTGCTTGTATTCCTGGCTCCATTATTCTACCGATTTTCGTGCACAAACTCGGCGCCAAGTTCTTTTTGAGTAAGTATACAATTATAAATACATACTGTATAATTAGTATGTATTTGTATTAGTAGTATGTAAGTATACAATTATAAATACATACTGTATAAATACATACAGGATGTATCTTAACATATGGGACCCACTCGAAGAGTAAACAAGAGGTACAAGAATAAAAAAGAAGTTCGTATGGAGACGTGTCCTATCAGATCTTGTTTCAGATATATGTTGAATGATACAGACCGTAATAAACAGTTACGGATTATTATTATTGAAACACAAATGGCTATAATATTGAAACAAGCTCGGATAAGGTACATGTTTGTATGAACTTTGTTCGTTGTTTTCGTGCCTCCTGTTCACTCCTGAAGTAGGTCCCACGTGTTATGGGACAACCTGTATATGCGTGCAATAAGTATCATTCTTGTAAATAAGAATAATATTTTAAGAAATATCTCTTGCCTCGTTCCATCCTACAATTAAGAGTGATACTACTGAATTTCAGTCATGTCATTAATGGTATCCGGCGCTGTGACTGTCGCCTTCTATTTTGTGGTCAATGCGACGCAAAACCTAATATTATCCTGCGTGTTCGAGGCACTGACGTCCCTCGGTATCTCGTTGGTCTATTGCATAATCGTCGACATGTTTCCGACGAATCTCAGGTGAGCAATCACACACACTCTTCTGATTTATTTCTTAGGGAAACAAGCAAACGCACAATCCCCAGTGATTTACAATCGTTCCTCAAAAGTTAATTATATCGGCGACAGCCGAGGACAAAACAAGGACACAATATAATGAAAGACACGTTTACACGCCTTTTAATCGTATAATCTCATAGTTTACCCACTTGCATCGTCGCCGTGTCGTGTCGTTACAACATAAAAAAATAACGTACTATTTGTTCGTCCGTGCCACCGAGTCAGTCGCGGAATGGAAAGCATTTTTATATTTCATAATTTTCAGAATTTTCAAAAATTAATCGACGTTTCTATATTTTCGACGATTGCGCGTTCTGGAAAATTTGTATTATGGACGGCTACTTTATGACTTCCCTAATGAGCCTCTTTAGGGACTTGTAAAAACAGTGCAGATTCTCATAAGGTTTGGACTGCATACCGTGGAATGTGCCCATTTGGCTCAGCCCGAAGCAGGCCAAATGGACACTGATTCACTCGTCAGTTTGATCGGTCAAGCGAGTCATCATAGAATATAAATGAAGACAGAGAGATCTAAAACCATCAGTTTCAGGTCTCCCTTGAAAAGGTGAATTGCAATGTTTACGAAACGTCGGTTCAAATTGCAAATGCCAAGTGCAAATGCAAAATCGAAACATTTGCTTATCCCGAAAAACCAGTATCAAAATATTTCACTCGTTCATATTAAATATCATGAGTAGTATACATACTTTTAATATTGTTATATTTTGAGGGATATTTTATATTTTGGTCTTTATTTTTGAGAACTAAAACTATGAATTTATTGAATTTTCAGAGTAATGGCTGCAGCCCTCTCCCTTACCATGGGTCGATTAGGCGCGTTAGTCGGTAACTTAGTATTCGGCTACCTGATTGATTTAGCCTGTGTGGTTCCTATCATTTTATTCGCAGCATT